CCTACACACCAGGGCTCTACCGCTGCATCACAGAGCCAGCCCAAAGCTAGCTACTTTGAACCAAGGGCTTCCAAATTCAAAATCCATGTTCTCTCTACACATAAACCACCAATGAATGGGCTTTGGGCCTGCTTCACACAACCTCCAAAACCTAATCTTTAAGTCAATTTTAAGACGACTTAAAAACTAAAAGACTTCATGGAGTCCTAGGCACAAGGTGCACACTGCTAAGATGCTGTGTTCCACAGGCTGGGACCACTTGGAGGTCTAGGTTCGATTCCCAGTTCAACCTAAAGGCTGGAAATGGTGAAGTGTGCCAACTACTCAAGGAGGCTGATGCAGAAAGATCTTGAGCTCGAGGCTGGCCTGGGCAACACAGCGAGACCCTATCTAAAAGAGCCAGGCCTCGTGGCACACATGTAGTCCCAGGTGAGTAGCTGAGGCAGAAGATAATATGGTGAGACTTTGTCTTAAAAAAAAAAAAAAAAGACAGTGGGCTAGCAGGTGGGGTGGTAGTTGGGGTACTGAGCTCCCACATGGTTGACTGTGGTTCAAGTCCCAGACCTGGCAGCTTGCTTTCTCACTTCCCTTTCTTTCTCTCCCTTTCTGGTAAAATTAAATAATAATAACAACAAATTTTTTAAAATTAAATAACTGTATTTTAAATAGTAATAAATTTTTTTAAAGAAAATAATGGAAAAGAACCTAGGGGAACTCTGATCCTTTGATTTGTATCTAAGTTCTCCAAGAAATACTTGGAGTCCTAGGTTTAGATATTTCCTGTGTGAGAGAACCTAACTCAGAAAATATCATGTAATCTGTAACAGTTGCTACCACAGGGCCCAGCACAACACACTTTTACAAAAATAGATCGTGTTGCCTAAATGAGTGCCTCTGCTGAAATGCTTCTCAGACAAGAGAAAGGCCTGCTCCCACATGTGAAGAAACTACCCATGCTGGTCAGTAGGCTCTCAGCACCAAGCTTTTCACCACACGTGGTGAAGCTGGGGCAGAGGCTACACAGAGCACTCTGTTTCTCTTCACTCGGCCTCCTAGACTCTGCCAACAGGGACAATGAAGAAAGATGAGGCTCAGGAACCAGCAGTTAGCATAATGGCTATGTCGCTGGACTCCCACATAGTCGACCGCGGTTCGCGTCCTGGACCCGGTGGCTTAAAACTCACGCCGGGCGCATGTGCGTGCGTGCCCAAGATCCCGAGAGGAGAATGGAGGAGAAGGGATTGTGGTGTGACCATCCCCCCTGGGGGGTGATTTCTCGCTTTCTGTCTCTCTGTCTCTCTCTGTCTGTCTGGCGAGCGCATGTGCCCCTATAGTGAAAAAACCTCTCCAAAAAAAAAAAAAAAAGAATTTAAAAAAAAAAAAAAAAAAAAGATGGGGCGGGGGGGGGGAGG